CCGTCATTACCACCCATCACCACTACCATCGCTCACTCTCATTATAATCGGTAATTAAATTCTTTTGTCTCTCTTCTATATTTGTAATTTGATTTTAGATGTGAATACAAATATATTTATTATTGACTATTTTTTTATTATTCTGTACCTTTTGACACAGACAATAACTAATATCAAATATTAAGTGACTTATAAACCACGATATATTTGGGAACTGAGTAGTCGTCAGTGTTTTAATTTTTTTTTTCAAATATATATGGACACTATAAATGTTGGAATGGCTGGGCTAATCCATGCATGATGAGAGGTGTCAACTCTGACCCGTTCACGCGAACCCAACACGAACGATTATAAAATTGACATGATTGTTAAATACGCATAATAAATAGTTTAGACTAATATTTAGTATTTAAAACACACAAAATAGATTTTTTTTTCATGGGTCTTGACACGAATACAATATAAATAATAATAACACGACACAAAAAACACGAGATGTGAGTCACACGAACACAACACGATTGACACCCCTAAATTATTATTGATACCACTGAAACACCATTTGCCGTCATATGAGAGTTACGTGAATAGATGAATCTTTATTGTTATTCCGTTATTTGGTTCAACTTAGAAAAAAAAAATACTAAAACATCTAAATAAAAAAATTAAATGATTACAAAATCCAAAAAGAATTAATATAAATAAAAGTGTACAGATCAGAAGCTTATCTGAGCTTCAAAGCTTGAGCAGTAGCTTGAACAAAGACCTAATGGAGATTGTTAATGATAGAATGCGTCAAAGAGCAGGTTGGAATTGATAAGGAAAAGGCCGAAGCACTTGTAGATGAGGAGTTCTTGGATTATATAAATCCGGAAACATCGATGATATTCTCCCTTTCGCTTTGTTGAAGTTNAGAGAACTTTGCCTTATCTAGTGGGTGGGTCTCTTATCAAAGGGGGTTCCCATAACTGGTCTCTGGTCACTGATCACTGGTCATAGGCAGTACATTTAGCAATTGTTTAGCAACCGTAAAAAAATAGCTTTCTCTTTTTAGAAAAAGTAAAAAAAAATTGTCTTTAAGAAATTTGAGTTTTAGAGAACCTTTCTAAATAAAGACACTTCTCAATTCCTAGATTTATTAAAAAATTTGACATACTTTAACTGACGGGAGAATCGGCATAGTAGGAGTTGCTCACAATGAGGATGAGCAACTCCGAGGCATTAGTAATTCATACCTGACTTAGCTTCTCCAAACATCTACATTATGTTCTTTTAGCACAATCCATTTAGCATTTTGTGAAATCTTTGAGTTGGTTCAAGCAAGTAACTACCTCTACACCATCACTATATCCCACCACCACCACCAATGTCACAACCCCACCACCACCATCACCCCCTGTCCCTTATTACCACCATCGTTGTCGTCACTATACCACCCCTTACCCTCACCACTGTTGCCACCCCACCACCACCTCCACCACAACCACTACCATTGCCCCTTATTATAACCACTGTCGCCATTACTACTACCGCCACCCCACCACCCCTTACCAGCCTGACCTCCACCATCCCCACTACCCCCACCACCACTATCACCACCACAACTGTCACCTCCACCACACCACCACCACTGTCCAACCATCACCTCTACTGCCATTACCCCTATCGCCTCACCACCACCCCTTCACGACCATCACCCCTACCGCCATTACCGACATCGCCACCGTCGCCACCCCACCACCGTCATTACCACCCATCACCACTACCATCGCTCACTCTCATTATAATCGGTAATTAAATTCTTTTGTCTCTCTTCTATATTTGTAATTTGATTTTAGATGTGAATACAAATATATTTATTATTGACTATTTTTTTATTATTCTGTACCTTTTGACACAGACAATAACTAATATCAAATATTAAGTGACTTATAAACCACGATATATTTGGGAACTGAGTAGTCGTCAGTGTTTTAATTTTTTTTTTCAAATATATATGGACACTCTAAATGTTGGAATGGCTGGGCTAATCCATGCATGATGAGAGGTGTCAACTCTGACCCGTTCACGCGAACCCAACACGAACGATTATAAAATTGACATGATTGTTAAATACGCATAATAAATAGTTTAGACTAATATTTAGTATTTAAAACACACAAAATAGATTTTTTTTTCATGGGTCTTGACACGAATACAATATAAATAATAATAACACGACACAAAAAACACGAGATGTGAGTCACACGAACACAACACGATTGACACCCCTAAATTATTATTGATACCACTGAAACACCATTTGCCGTCATATGAGAGTTACGTGAATAGATGAATCTTTATTGTTATTCCGTTATTTGGTTCAACTTAGAAAAAAAAAATACTAAAACATCTAAATAAAAAAATTAAATGATTACAAAATCCAAAAAGAATTAATATAAATAAAAGTGTACAGATCAGAAGCTTATCTGAGCTTCAAAGCTTGAGCAGTAGCTTGAACAAAGACCTAATGGAGATTGTTAATGATAGAATGCGTCAAAGAGCAGGTTGGAATTGATAAGGAAAAGGCCGAAGCACTTGTAGATGAGGAGTTCTTGGATTATATAAATCCGGAAACATCGATGATATTCTCCCTTTCGCTTTGTTGAAGTTCCTTAAATCTCGGGTTTCTTGGTGAACACGCACTTATATACTTAACTAGTTATATCAGAAGTCCAAAAGAATAGCAAAATACAATCCTAAAAAACAGAAAAATACAACTATCATAAATCTATAATATAAAATAGAACGGGTTTCAATAAACCCATCCAATTATATCAAATAAACTCATTCAACGGTCATTAACACTCCTCTCAAAACCATTCACATTGCATTATGCCTTCAGACACGGGTTATCCCTAGTAAAAATACATTACAGATTGATCCTTGTCTTTTGCATTGATTAATGTTATCATTATGCTATTCCAAGATACAATCATTTTTTTTAAAGAGGAAATAGTCTAGTTTAACCTTATCTAGTTCGTTATATTGGCAAAGGGAGCATTTGGAAGCAGATTTGGGATGTGGGATACTTATTTGTGTGCATTCATTCTAAAGTTTAATGTCCAGATTAGCCAACGGATGCTGCAATCGATACTAGAATGGAGGATCAAAATTTATATAGTCAGACCCTAAAAAATGAGATTTAAAAATTTTTGAATTAAAACGAGTTGAGAACTTGTTAAAATATAAATATTTAAGTTAAATATTCTCCAACAACTTAAGTTTTTCATGTAGATAGTTGTTTAATATAGTATCAGAGTAGAAGTTCTTGTATTCGAATATCGCCGCCACCTTAATTATTAAAAAAAAAATTAATTTTCATATTTAAGCTTTTGAAGTAGGTAATCACCAGAAAAATTGAGTGTTCAGTAACTATGAAAAAGTAGAAAAACGTCAGATTTAGTTTTACCGCCAGCTTTGCCTCAATTTCTTGTAGTGCAGATACACCGTGGGGCCATTTGTTTTGAGTATTAGAGTGGTATAAGGAGGTGGTACTAGAAAAATAGTACGTGAGACCCATTTTATTCGTTGTTTGTTTGACATTTTATAATGAATACTATTTTTCGGGTCGTAATACCGACCCGCTATGAACAGTAGTCATAATGCCTTGTACAAGGTCTTAATGAATACCACATAGGGGGTGGTATTATATTATTGGTATAAGTATTATAAACTATAAAGACCGAAATGCCCTCCGGTACAATTCACATATAAAAGCCTAGCAGCAATTTTTGACGCAATTGTTGACTTTTTTAAGTAGGTATTACACAGATAATATTTGTGATAAATAAACAAAGAGAATGATGGGATTATAGTTTAAAACCGGGTATAATATACTATTGGATTGGAGTGGAATGAATATAAAACCTTATACCACCTAAATTTTATACTCGAAACAAACATGCCCCNACACCGGATATAATATACTATTGGATTGGAGTGGAATGAATATAAAACCTTTTACCACCTAAATTTTATACTCGAAACAAACATGCCCCGTATGTATACCATCGAGTGGGATAATCCAGTGCGATATTAGCCGAAGTCTCACCTTGAAGTTGGAGATTCATGTTTAGGAGTTCGAATTAAGGTTCGGTAGTTGACCATTATACTAACCTAACTAGATTCGTTCATAAGAAATGTAATAAGAGCGGTCAAAAGTCTTATGATTCTATCAATGAGAGCCTCTCAGGGTAGTTTCTCGACGGTCTCTTTTACCTCGTCCTTTTTTGTGTTTATCAAAAAAGGAAAAATAGACCGGACGTATTTGCAGTCCTAACCGTTATGTCTCTCCATTCTTGGCGGAGAAGAGGGCTGAGCTGATTTAATGTTCAAAATTTCAGAATAGACCCATTCTCCATGAAGTAAAATTACGAGTTAATTTCACGCGGGCAAGTCGATTAAGCCGTCTTCGGGTCAAACCAAGTCATTTGAGTCATTGCTGCTAAATCGGTTGATACCGTCAAGCGATGCCATGGTATTACCAAGTCTCTCATTGTGTTCAACTTTTTTTGGATAATATTTTATATGTATCATCTGACACTATTCTGTGACGTCACAACAAAAGTATCTGAATATTATTTAAGGCAAAGGTCATCCTATAACCTTAAACTATATTTGCAAGATCAATTGAGCAATTAAATAGCCATTTAATTACCAATTTACGGATTATAATCCGAATATAATAGCATTTAACTTGTTGGGTGGGCAACAAACTTGTAATTGGGTTAGTTGCCCACCCGACGAGTTGGGACAAAGTGTCTGACAAAAAATGCAAATCCCAGCATATGATGCATTGAGTCCATAAATATATCCCATATATGGGATAGTTGCTAGGTTATTTTTGCTTCGGTTTCTTATACCAACAAAAAAAAAAATTACTTCACAACTGAAATGTTTTGAAATTTTCATGAACCAACATGATAATGGTCTGTTGAAATTATTGTAATAATCTTGTTTTAGTCGGATGAATTTGACGACGTAATGGCCTCGCCATGAACCACTTTACTTCCAACTTGTACATCAAACTTCTGAATCACATAAACTCCAGCTCGTGTTGATCTATGTATAAATCCTGCAACAAGCCATAGAAATTGAGTGTTCAGTAACTGTCTACAATCATATGCATCGTGTGTGTAAGAAAGAGAGAGAGTGTGTTATAATCCCACCAATAGCAAATTATGGGCCTAGATGTGTGTATATAGAATCTAAAACACGTTTATCTTTCAAACCAGCGGATTTTCAACAATTTTACCTATAAATTCATATAAAATGGCATACCTAACCACCACATCGAGGTGTGGGATTGGATGCAATACAAGTTATGGCTCACATCGGCCGATTATGGGCTTATATGTATTTATATAGACCCTTGAAAGCCCTTTTCTTTGAAGTTGGTTTTCAAATGTTGAGTTTTACATGTAGAGCCACCAATAGATTCATATCAATGGGTATTAGAGCAAACCACGGCGTCAAGTATGGGATCAAATATAATATAGGAAGTCGCTCCCACATTGGCCAATTATGGGCTTAAATGTATGTATAGACCCTCAAGCACTCTTATCTTATAAGCCGGTTTTTAAGAGTTGAGTTCTACCCTCTAGCCATAGGACCACGAGAGAGAGAGAGAGGTACCTAGAGCAGTCCACATTATTAGAAATAGGGAAATTGGGTACGCCGCAAGTGTTAATGACATCCTGAATGCGAGACTGGCTGTAAGAAGGGTGGAAGCCAGAATTCCCCATCTCCTTAACGCATTGGCAAATCCTACTCGGACCTGTCTGGTCCATTTCTGCAATCGCATTAAGCTGTTGGAGGTTCTCACAGCATTGAGGTGATGCATAACTGTCAGTCCCTTCAATGAAGCCCTTGCACCAAGCAAACCTAGAAGAGATATCCACGCAATCGAAGCCGCCGTACCCACCACCACCCCAGCCACCGAGCCCTCCGAAGCCTCCAAAGAAGTGAGCCATCGATGACCCAAAAACTGCATAGAAAATCATAACAAACCCAACAATTTTAGACATTTTGCTTGTTTCTGTGAACTGTCTTTGGTTTCGGATTGAGCTAAGGGTTGTTGTTAATTGTTCTATAAACACATAGCACATTTATATAGTACTAGGATTTTCGAACAAGAGGTTAGCACAGTTTTTAGTTTTCACACTAATTCAGGAACTAAATACATTACTTATGGAGTTTTCAGGTTCCATAACGGTGAGTGTAATTCTTTAAGTTACAGGCTTTACTCCACTCCATAAATACTACGAAGAATAATTGATACTTCACTGGTTTTAATGTTTTTGCTTTTACCACGAGGCATTACTCAAGTTGTCTCATAAATGATCAACTCTAGACAAGTAACGTACGTCATCAATTACAAACACCAAGTCATATGCTAACAACATGAAACCATCGAATAAAACTAGTGACCAGTACGAATAATTTTTTTTTTTTAAAGATATAAATCACACTTTGAGCCATCAATTGTGTTCACCGTGTCACACACGTCTTCTTGATTATTACATTTTTCTGCACCTCCAACAATGGTTATAACTTTGTTTCTGCACCTCTATCTTTTTCCTCAATCTAGGTAAACTAATCAAGAAAAGTTCATTTTATTTGACTCTTCTTCTCAACGTAGTCTCACTTAATTACAGATTTTACGATCTCGCCATATCTGTCCAGTATCCTACCAATATTCATCGGTATCAGTAATTAGTGGTAATATGTAGCGGGTGGATAGTGAATTGGATATGTTATCTTTGTTTCAGCTTTGGCCTCTTGTGGCATTCGAAACAGGGGCCATGCACCAATATGAACTTCACAATGGTAGCTTAATTAACTATAAACATAATAGTAGTTTATATGTTCTCAGCAATTGGTATTCATTAAATTGTAACAATTAATTCTCATTCCTCANAATTAACTATAAACATAATAGTAGTTTATATGTTCTCAGCAATTGGTATTCATTAAATTGTAACAATTAATTCTCATTCCTCATTGAGTTACATGCTTGACCATAAGCGACAGTACTAGTTTCAGTTTGCTGACTTTTACATGAATTTCGGAATCAAGAAAGTGAACTCCCAGGTATACCAGTCTCATAATCAACCCTGCAACAATGCAAAAAATAAAAAATAAATAAAAAAAGCAAAAAGAAATGGTTACTATCTTAGTCACTCAGCAGCTATGTGTCGTTTGTGAGATAGAAAGAAAAAGACACGTACTTAGAGCAATCCATGCGTTCAGAAATGGGGAAGCTCAGATGTACATGGCACATGGAATAAAGATCCTTGATTCGGGTTTCATTGTAGGAAGGGTGGACTTCCTTTGCCATGTCCTCAATGCATCCACAGATCCTCCTTGCACCTCCCTTCTCATGTTTTGCAATTGCATTGAGATTCTTGAGGCTATCACAGCATCGAGGCGATGGATAGTCGTAAACATTTTCAATGAAGCCGGTGCACCAAGCAAAGTTATCTACCACATCCATGCATTCAGGTCGGTAGTCTGATGTGACTGACCCAAATAGTGCAAGAAAAACAGTTAGAAATCCAAAAAGTGGAGGCATTGCTTCTTATTTCTATGAAGCTAATGGGTTGTAAGTTGTACTTGAGAACATGGTAATACATAGAGAAGAATGTTGCATTATATACTAGGTGTCAATTAGATGATTACAAACATTGTCTAATGAGTTCATCCAACTCACTAAAAGAGATTTAGTTATGCAGTTTGTTAGATTTCATTATCATGAAATTGTCGTGTCACATGAAAAGTAGGACAAATGATAAACGTTACTGGCTTTCCATGTTATTTTGTTGTGGATCCCACTATTCATAGTTAATTAGTTTTGAGTCAAAATCTTTGTGATAACATTAAAGTAGAAGGTTAGGTTTTGCATTCAAGTCTTGTTATAATTTTGATATCTATATTATTTGTAATTTCTTGACCCAAAGTCTAGTTTGCACATGACACCGTATGTTAAAATGTATAAGTGTGTGAATGTGTCACTCCCTTCAACTGTGACACTCTAAAATCTGGGTGTCCGTAATTACCCGATTGATCATCCATCAACTTGCGAAATACTCATGAAAATTCGATATCACGTCGTTATGTCCTATTTATCGGAGTCCATAACTTAACAAATTTTGAGCAGAATCTCCTTTGTACGAAGAGATCTACTCAAAACGCAACCTGTACAACNGTGAAATACTCATGAAAATTCGATATCACGTCGTTATGTCCTATTTATCGGAGTCCATAACTTAACAAAATTTGAGCAGAATCTCCTTTGTACGAAGAGATCTACTCAAAACGCAACCTGTACAACATTGATCACACCGGGTCTCTTCATTATAATCATCATTACTACGTACATTCATTTATAAAAGAATAAATGTCTCAAAAGAGCCCTGTGTACATGCCTTTTTAATAGAAACAAGTTTTTGTTACAAAAATTATAGAAGACCAAAAGTAAATATAAACAAGGGACTATGATGTCAAAATAAAAGCCACTGTCCGCCTTTGTCGTTAAAGCGGACCAGTAGGAGGGCCTTCAATGAAAACATGTGATGTACCTAAAAAGTGTTCCCATAAAGGGTGAACCGACGCTCAATAGGGTAATTCTTATAAAGAAATATCTTTCAACCCAAATGCATATAAAATGTCGCATGTAACAATCATTTCATGCATTTATTCAAATATGTCTATTATGAACAAATATCATAAATCATGTCATGCTATGAGATGAGACTCACGCAAGCAAAACCAACACCGAGCCCCATCCTGAGCTCCCACAACACATGCAATGTCATGTATATGTATTCGAGCATTTTAAGCCCTCATTATTGGTGTTATGTACACTGAATGACTAATTAATTCATTTTCTTGTGTCGTTGTGGGGAGATGATTTATGGTATTACATCAATGGGACACCAGCAATCAACGGATTCTTAGGACGTCTCACCTGCGGCTCCGTTTTGGCCGTTCTACTTTTCTGAAAATTCACCACCGGAAAGTATATAAACTAAGTAAGCAGGTCTTGCACCCGAGGGAGAATCTAGCCCTTCTTGCTATCTCTAACATGTTTATCCATTTAATTTTTTGTGTGACTCAGCCAGACCTTGGTACGACTTTTTCGAGCCCACAATCAACCATCTATGTGGTGATTGATTTCATACTATGCATATACTCCCACCCATGTCAATACCTATGAATGTAGTGCAACTCATGCATTATGCAATATAATGTCTATTACATAATGAATACAATATAATGACATTTAACTCGATCTCAAGCATGTTATGTAAGATATTCACCTAGGCATTTAAATAAACACCTAAATGACACATCAATTTACATAACTAGCATGTTTGTTACTTCCAGCATGACAACATATTTATTAATTCTATAAACATAAGTACAAGTCTACCACAATAATCATATACTAAATAATCATTTAACATACATATTATTTTATAATCACATAACAAGCTAATAATTTTATTAAACTTGATATGTCATGAAAACATAAAATAATGCTAATATACAATTAACATGCTTTAAACCACTAATATTAACTTACACCAAGTTAATCATATTAGGATTTTACTAATCACAAAGTTAATTATAAATCATGTATTTGACCTACTAATTACACTAGTCAAGACCTAACATGTGATATACACACATAGCCTACCCATTNATATTAGAATTTTACTAATCACAAAGTTAATTATAAATCATGTATTTGACCTACTAATTACACTAGTCAAGACCTAACATGTGATATACACACATAGCCTACCCATTTCATATGTCATATTTTAGGTTGAAATTAAATCTAAATAGGGAAAACCCTACCTCTTGTAACGTAAGCCCACGTACTAGAACTCCAAGGAAGCCCAAATTTAGCTTCTTAACCCTTAGGCCTAGATTATCATCTTTAANGAAAAACCCTACCTCTTGTAACGTAAGCCCACGTACTAGAATTCCAAGGAAGCCCAAATTTAGCTTCTTAACCCTTAGGCCTAGATTATCATCTTTAATATTTTTTTAGAGAAAAATACGATATTTGACATGGTTGCGTAGCTCTCGTTGAATGGAGCAACTTTAATTCTTGGTCCGAAACGATTAAACGGTCCAATCTTCGTAGATTTGAAGAAGAAGGAATGAGAAAAATAAAAAAACTCACCTTTCACTCTCTCACTCTCTCGACAGCACACCGGAGCAAAATAAAAATAAAAAGAAAAAAAAACCAAGTGGAAGACTTTACACTTTAGTCTTCCACTTTATACGGCGTCTACATGTATTTTTTTAAAAATTTATATTTTTGGTCCGTAATTTAACAATTAATTATTATTTTATCCCTTTAATTAAGATTTTTAATATAAAAATTAATTATTATTTTACCCCTTTAATTAATATTTTTTTTAATAATAATAATTTTAATTTTAACTTTTTTTTTTTTCCAAATTTTACATCAACTGTTTAGTGTTATCAAATTGTTGGTGTTTAGCCGCATATGGTGGGATTTGGGTTCTCCCTAAATTCCCCTAAAATTTCTTTCCAAAAAGAAAGTATACCTTTTACTATGCACATAACATAAAACATTTGCACTACTAACAAAAAGTCTAAAGAGTTATTCACTATGATTTGTCTTTGTTTTTCTTTTAAGAAGATTCATATATGCATTGTGTAAGGAAAGAGTTTTGTTTAATGTGGACTTAGTATTCACGCAAAAAAGAAAAAAACACTGGGTGACTAATTATTAATATTATGTGGCCAATTTGATAAGAAACTATGTGATGAATTGCCTGCAATTTTCAATTAATTTGGCAACGAGCAAATCAAAATATAATAGGGTTCTGAAATTAAATTGATAATGAACTTTGTAATTAATTATATAATAAATTCAGAAAAATTTTCAACATTATGTCGTACTATGGTCACAATATCTTTTGGATAAATTACATGAAATCTAGTGCATTATAATAGGATCAAACTCGATTAATTGGACCATATTTAATCATCACATATTTATGCTATTGGAATTTATACAAATTTTATTTTCTATAAAATCTTATAACCTTTCTTGCCCTTTGGGCTAAAGATGAAGTTATCTATTCTTTTTGATCCTTTAGCCAAAAACGGGGAAGCTTTGTCTTCTTAGAGTTTACCACTCCCAATTCTCATTCTTCTTGCACGGAATAAAATGATAGTCCCTTGTTCAGAAAGCCCTAAAGTGTTAAAAAAAGAACCCCACCATCCTGAAACTTTGACACGAACTAAATCATTTATCTCTTACACAAAAACACAAATTTTAAACAAATTTAAACAAATTCAGCAATTCAATTTGCTCCATGGATTATCTGGTTAGCATTTCAAATTTTTTGCTATTGAAAAAAAATTGCATATTCTAGGTAATTTTTTTGATAGGGGAAAGTACAATATCTAGATAAATAATGATGTAACCATATCTAGTTTAACTATGTCATGATACTAAATGATGTAATTCTTTAGTTTATGTAAACAACTAATTGAAAAATTGGGTTATTGTCGTAATTTTGTGTAATTATTTGGTGTGACTATTTGATTTGTTAGAATACATGAATAACTATTTAGTATAATACAAGATAATTGTAACTAATTGGTGTAATTGAGTGGTGTATTGTGTTGTTGTAAATATAAGAAGAGAAAGAGTAACTGTGAGAGAAAATAAGGAGAGAGAGTGAGAGATGAAAAAATTAAATCAAATTTTTATATATTTGAAAAGAAAATAAATTTTCAATGGAGATAGATAGAGAGAGAGAGAGAGAAAATAGGTGATAGATAGAGAGAGTAACGAGGAGAGAGGAGCAAATATTCAATGCAACGGTCATACCATGTCACCATTGATTACCAACCAATAATAAAATCTCAAATGAGTAAGGTGAACCCCACTTAGACTTACTTGAAAGAAAAGTAGAGAGTTATTTGCTTATATGACATATTAGTAATTAATTTTTGTGAGGGTCATTTGTCTGTTTGTTTTAATATTTATTGATTAGTGATACAATATCACATTGTTATGTGGTATCACCGTTGTAATGAATATTTTCTCGGGAGAGAGAAAGAGAGAGAGAGAGAGAGAAAAAAAAAATAAGGNTTATGTGGTATCACCGTTGTAATGAATATTTTCTCGGGAGAGAGAAAGAGAGAGAGAGAGAGAGAAAAAAAAAATAAGGAATAATGGGAGAGTAATGGAGAGAAAGAGGGAGAGGGAGTAATGGAGTAATGAATAACCATTTAGTTTTTTTTCTAAAAAAAATGCACTTAGGGTTAAATAAATTTTTTTAATGTAGTTTAGTTCAATTAAGTCCAAATTTTTATATCGACTTCCAAATTTTCCAAGTATTTATGGATTTAATTTTTTTTATATGGACTATTTATGATATCTAAAAATTTGAGGGATTCCTTAAAATTAGAGCCTAAAGCCNGATTTAATTTTTTTTATATGAACTATTTATGATATCTAAAAATTTGAGGGATTCCTTAAAATTAGAGCCTAAAGCCCAAGCTTTTGCAAATACG